CTAACACTGTAGAGATGTCTCAGTTGCAAATGTTCTTACCTTTTGCTGAATTCTTATACCATATGGTTCCATCAGGAAATTAACACCATATTATTTACTGCTGCATCAAACATTTAATCTCTTGTAAGATTAATTTGTGATGTCTTGTTCATATTTAACTACCAGTCATTGGATGCCTTCTTTGTGCCAAATAAACTATCCTCATTTTACAGAGAACATAAGTGGTTTCCCCTAGATCATGACACTAGAAAGTGATAGAACTCAGTCTATCATCGCACACTATTAAAAACATATAATTGCACACTATTAAAAAAATCTATTTACTTTTCTTTGGATTTTCCCTCAGTACAGTGCTTGGTATGTAATAAATACAGTAAGTGGTTACTAAGCATAAATATGAAGCTTTTAAAAAAATTTTTTTTCAGTAACATAGCACTACTTATAAATCTTTTTCTTTGATGAAACTGTATCATAATGTCCTAGAATGGAGTCTACCATCAGAAACTGAAATTCTGATTCTTATCATTATATTGAGAACATGGTTTTAATAACTGGCATGGACAAAAATCTAAGTGAAAAAGTGTGTAAGGTGAGCCAGGGGCAGCAGTATACCTAGTATATTTGACATAAACAGTGAATCATCTTTAAAATATCATAGGACAGAATTATTGTGTTAATTATGAAATGAATTGAAATAATTGTCATAGGACAGAATTATTTTTATTTAATAATTATGAAATGAAATGAATTAAAATAATTGTCAGAACATACCTGTAGAAAGAAAAACAAAATAAAATAGAAAATAAATACTTCAGTGCAAAATAAGAACAAGAAGTGATTTAATCTTTTCTATAACATTAACAATTTTTTAAGCAGATGAAAATTTTTACCTATGTATTTATTGGTCTGTTGTAGGAATGAATAATAATATCACATTTTTTCCCTCGAGCTTTAAAATGTGTAAATGCATTGATGACTTTGTCAAAACTGATCTTCATGTTCAAAATACAAAATAGGCAAATGTGTTAATCTACTTTTGTGAATAGTTGGTCAAAGAACACATTTGATTAAATTTTAATTTGAAAAATATTCTTTCACATTAAGCGGCATGAAGTAACACATAAAATTTGAGATATTACAATACTGTTCATCTCTTTGGGGCTAACTCAAGCAACTTTCAAATATCTCAAGTCAAATAATTTTAAATTCACATTCTTATCTTTGTAAGAATTTTCCTAACTACTAGTATTGAAGTAACTTAAGTTTGTAATTTTATGATTATAACCACTGGGATTTTGTTCTTTGTTTCACATCTGTTTTTTAAGTACAGAAAAATATAGTATCAGAGGGATTGGGGGAATGAACTCTGTGAAAGCAAGCTCTAAGGATTCCAAACTATTACCAAAATGAGTCAGCCTGTGCCATGGGCCACTGTGTAATTAATTTCCATGTAGATACAATGTTTACAAAGGAATAACTGATGAGCATGTGTTAATTTAAAATCTGTATACGTACTATTATAATTCAACAATAATCCCCCAAATCCTATGTCAGATATCCTAACCCCTATTGCCTTAGAATATGAGTTTATTGGGTCTTTAAAGAAGTAATTAAATTAAATATAAATATGGTCATCAGCATGAGCCTTAATGCAGTAGGACTGGTGTTCTCATAAGAAGAGATTAGGACACAGACAGATACAGAAGGAAGCCCATGTGAACACGTTGTAACGTATGGGTGTAGGCATAGGAAAAGACTGGAAAAATGCTCATCAAACTTTAACAGGGAGTAACCACTAGCAAGTGGAGGATGGTGATTTCCACTTACTACATTTATGCCCTTTTATATTGTTGGGATGCTTCTTATGACAAGCATGAATTACTTATATAATTTAATAAATAAAGGTGAAGCCAATAAGTGAGAGTTTTTTCTATAATATAAGCTCATTTTAAAATCATGGTTGCAAGACCTCACTACATAAGATGTATGAGAATCAAATGTGTATGTACAGGGAAGAAACAATGTATGGACATTATATGGAGGCAAATTTTGAATCAGTTTAAGAGATAACTTCTTTGCCATCCAATGATTAAATAGCCTAGCAGCATTGTTTATATTGGCAAAAAAAAAAATTGAAATTAACCTAAGTGTTTCACAACAGGAAGCTGAATAAATGAAGCAATATATCCATACAACAGAATAAAATACAGCTGTGATAATGAGCGACCTAAAGCTAGTTTTATTCACATTGATAAATCTCATATCTGTATCACTGAGCAATATGAACAAGTTCCAAAAGAATAAGTATCATAGGATGGCAATTACATGAAGTTAAGAAACATGTATCCCAATTTTCTGTATTGTTTATGAATATGTATGTATTTGCATAACAAAATTATTAAGAAATGTATAGAAATATTGAATACCAAATTTAGGATAGAGTTTACCTTTCAAGAAAAAAAGAAATTAGGATTAGGGACTTGAAATATATTATTATGCTTGTTTCTTATGCTAAATGACAGGTATATAACTGTGAACCACATAAATTTTTATATCTCCATGTGTGAAATATATCATAATAGTAATTATAATAATATCAATAAAGTCACAGCTTACTTAGTACTTAGTGTAGATCAGACACTATGCTAAGGATTTCACATGTATTAATTTGTTTCTTCCTCACAAAAGCCCTATCAGATGGGCATTGTTATTAACCTAATTTTACAAATAAGCAAATCACCACACAAGGAAGTTAGGTAAGAAGCCATAGATCACATGTAGCAAGGAGCCAAGCTGGGATTTGAGCCTAGGCACCAACCTCCGTACTATGCTCTTAACCACTTACAGACATAGCTACAAAAAAGATTGTCTTGTGAGGTAATGACTTGCCCTTCTTAATTATTTTTTTTTAATGTGACGGGCTCCTCAGCTTTGAAAATATAAATACATGACCAATTCTAAGACTGCTGTGGGTGGCATTTCATTGTGGTTTGTGAGAGTTTGGGATACTTTACTTGAACTTTCCTTTCAATCCTGTCTCTGAATTTTTAATGGCAGGAAGAGTTGTTTGAGGCAAAACACAAAAGGTTCTACTTTACGCATGTTGAGTTTGAGGTAGAAATGTGGCTGGCAAATGGTTAGAGATGACGGAATTCAGTTTGTGTTACCGCTGGGAATTTGTTAGCTGTATAGTACAAGTATAGAATGGATGTGATTATCCAAGAAATATGGGAAGAGAAAAAATGAAAAGCTTTGCCATACCTGGTAGGAAGAGAAAGAGAAGAAGGAGACTTTCAGTTTGTTTATTTTTCTTTCTATGCATGCGCGCGCGCGCACGCACACACCCACACACCCACACACACACACACACACACACACACACACACACCACCACCGCCCCCCCTCCAACACTTTTCTTTATAATTCTATCTGCATCCTTAAGGAAATAACTATGTTCCTATAGCAAATCCTTCACACTTCAACCTATATACTTGTCAATTAGAGAAAGCACACTCAGTACTATAATACTTTTTAGAACTGAAAGTCCTTTGAACAATTTATATATGTGTGTTGACTATTCATATAAAGCTTTAAAACAATATCATTTTATATAGTGAAACTAGTCCTAAGGAAACAGAAATGTGTCCTTTTAGAATGTTCACTTTTGTGTATTCATAGATTAGCATGCTAAACAAAAAGATTTTTTTTCCTGAGCTTGAACAGGTCTGATCAGCCCATGTGCAAATGGGTATTTCTCAACAAATGGATTGTAACAATTATCCTAAAATATGAGTATCATCATATGTGAGTGGAAGTGTTACTTTGATCAGATCCTAGTGGGATTTGGCATTAGTCCCTATTGAGTAAGGAGGCAGCTGTTTCTTCTTATCTGGGATATTGCAAAAGTAGGGTGATTGAATAGAGCAGGTAGAGAAGAATGGAAGAAGAAAGAATTCTGTTATTTATTGACTCTATCAGGTACAATACTTTGCATTGTACCAGGCTATACATATTTAAAACTCTCAGCATTTTTCCTGTTAGTTATTATTATCCCATTTTTCAGATTATGTAACTGGGTTTCAGAGACTTTAAGCAAATTTCCTCAAAGTCATATGGGATACAGAAGAGGTGTGCCTTGCTTCCAAAGCCAATATGTATCATTATGTATCGTTATTTACAATGAAGATTGTTAGGGTGTATTCATCAGTAGAAGATTCATCTATTACTCTACATCTTGATTAATATAATCAAATATATCTTTAATCAAATTGAAACTCTTCTCTAGTTGTCAGAATATTTTTAATATCTAGTTCATACCTGATAGAAAAGAAATTTTTGGTCGCAGCTTCTACCATTGCTCTTTGCACATGTTTTCTTCTTTTTTCAAACACTTAGCATAATACTTGGAATCACTGTACTGTACATTTCCATAATGTAAATTCACTTTACTACTTGTTAAATATGATTTCAATTTGGTTTTATATATTCATTTTCTATGAGTGCCAAATAATTTTCATTCTATTATACTTTTGCTGATTATTGCTTTATAAGACTTATACAAATAGTCATATTCTTAGTGGTGGCTTTCTTTAAATTAGAGCTCTGAAGGTACCAGGTTTTACTTCCTGCTATGCTCCAGACCTCCGGCAGTGCCTAGCACAGAGTAGGTAATCAATAAATCATCACTCTTGCCCCACCTCAACAGTCTCGCTCTTGTTTTTTCCTGCTTGCAGCCAGTAGGTAACAAGAAATGACACACATGAAGTAATATGAGTTCGATAACACATAAAAGATCTAATCAGTTTTGCTAGCTAACATCTGCTGTGTTGAGCCTCCTGTGTATATTATAACATTTAATTTTAACAACATTTCCGTGAGGTTCGTACTATTATTATGATCATTTAATACTGTAATTTAACGAACAACAAAACCAAGGCTTGACAGGGTTAGCAAGAATTTTTTATACGAACTCAGACCTCTCAGACTTGAGCGCTCTTGTTCACGTCCACAACAGTGAGCTACTTCCCTCGAAGAAAATTAGGTAATTGAAAGCCACCAGTGCTGAGCAGGACAATGGAATAGTGTGGGTAATAGAACAAAGGTAAAGCAAACAAAGAATTTCTGCAGACAAATTCCCTTTAGAATAAATACGGAAACCCTAGTTCTTCTTAGTATCTTCTGTTCCCTGGCATCTAATTAGGTGAAAGTTTGAACAGGGCAGCAGATCAGGTTGGAATGGAGCTGGGGGTACTCACAAACTCTCATTACTGTCTCCATTAACCTGATTAACAACCAGTCTCTCCTGTCAAAATAATGGTGTTATTGCTGCACTGTTGCCTTGGCAACCCCTCCAGTCATTACAGTTGGTGCTGCTCACATGAAGACTTTGGTCCAACACAGTAATAATGCCTCCCGCCATATTGTAGCTGATATGACTGTCAGCTTTTGGTCTGGCTTTTTAAATGGTGCCATCACTAACTTTCCATGTATTCAGTAAATGTAATCAGTGCTAGGCTTTCTACCACTAGAACCCTTTCTGGCTACAGTACCTGACACAGGTACACACCTCCTTTAATAAGTGGGACAAGACTGCTTCACACCAAAATTATAGACTGCTGCTCAGGGATGGGTTTTTCCTTTAGTACTATGTGCCAATTTGGACCGGAAAAAAATTCCCTTCTTCTTTGTCCCAGCAGCAAGGAAGGTCTGTTTCCCCAGGGAGCAGAAGGCAGGTCTTCTCTCAGGGCCATTTCCCTTTTAGTCCTCAACATCACCTAGAAAGGTCATAGACAGTCAGGAGACTTGCCATCCTCTGTGAAGAAACCTGACTTTCCCTGTCAACTGGAAATATTAAAGTTGAGTCAAATAGAATGCTCCCTCTCCAGCCCATCTCTGCAGAACTAGCTCTGGACCAAACATGAATGGGCACTGAACAAGGGACAGAGTAAGTGGGAGGTACACCAGGCAGACATAGTATCTGCACATGCGAGTACAAATAATCACAAAATCACAGGCAGATATCAGCCAAGAAGAAGAAGGACCTGCTACTTGTGGTTTGATTCTTTCCCTTTGCAAACAATATTACTCTTCAGAATCAGAGTGAAGCCACAAATTTCCCACTAAGACTTTTGTGTGTAACAGTTCTATGTCCCTTCCAACTTCATCATAGCTTGTGTAGACTATCAATTACCCTGATTAGCTCAGTAACCAGTTTGTAGCAAAGTCTATCTAGTGTACCTAGAAGACAAATCAAAGGTCAAGGATTTTGAATAATTTAAAGCTAAGGACACTGGTCTTAGCCATCTGGGGTATAAAATATCAAGTATAAATAAAACTCAGTGTTGAATTACTAACTTGTTTAATGTCTTAAGAAAATTACAATTTAGAGCAACATAGAAATTTGAATACTTAGATACACACTATATGCACTCAAGAAAAATGAAACATTGCTATTTATTCTTGCTTAATCCATTGAGCAAGGTAGTCTGATTTCCCAGACCTAAACAGAACCTAATAAGACCACCTTCCTATCATGCAAAATTGTCTGGACCATTCACACTGGCAGTACTTCAAACTTGATGACTGCAGAACCATTTCAGCCTGGTCTCTCTGTATTTAGGTACCAGGAAGCCTTTAATTAGCTACCTATTCTAATTATTCTAAATAGAAACTTACCTGTTCATGTGTCTTCCTAGACCAAAGGCCTCAAAGTCCTTGTAGCACAACCATAGAGAAAACCTTCTCTTTAAGATAGTACGTTACTTCTGTGGCTAGAACAGAAAAATAAGGAAAATATAAGAAGCCATTGTCTGGCTCGTGCATAACCCCACTATCAGTTCTCCATTTATACTGAAATAATTTGTTCAACAATCTAAACCAGACTCTGCTCTTTACAATTTGAATTAGATAAACTGTTTTTAAAAAAGGGAGTCAAAAACACTTTCAAAAGCCAATTGAACAGGACAGAGTAGTTTTAAAATAAAGGAAAAAAAACAATTGTACAGTGATTCTTCAGACTGAGGTAGATAGCATAACATGTACGAAAATTAGAAAAAAATCTAAGGAAGCTTGAAGGAAGTGGGGAAGAGTATGGAGAAAAATAAACAATAAACAGCAGAGCCTGTCAGCTGCACAGGACAATCTGTGTTCTCTTCCTTTTGGTTGTTGATCTTATGCCAAGCAGAGCAAAGGAATGCCATGCTTTTGGGACACGCTGGTATGGAACGATATGTCCCTTTATTCAGAGCATACAAAAAGATCTGAAATTATGTATATTTCATGAGATTTGAGAATGATTTAAAAGCCTTAAACAAGTCTAAAACATGAATAAGATTAACCTCTGGAATAAATGTAAAATTTACTATTAAAAATAAAAATACACTATTCATGCATTTGCTATAATCCAAACTAATGAGCAAAAAACTAATACATCAGCAGAAGTACATCTGAAAATCATTGATTTGGGCAAATCTTATGAAATGAAACTATAGATGATGGGAATTGTATCATCAGTCTTTTAATTTTGTGCATTTTGAACATCATCCAAAAGTATTAATCCCCTGTTAAAATTCTGTGAAAGGGAAAGAGCAGAGAAATAGTTACCAATTGCAATCATCTAACCAAAGGCATTCACATCCTGCTGTAAATGTATCAGGACTATATCATAACCTTTGCTGAATATGCCCTCTCTATTGTTTTGGTTTTGCTGTTAAATCCTTGCATTTTATAGAACTATAGTGTTTGGCAAGAGCATGTTTCTAACAGTTCTTTTTTCCACTTTACCTCCTGAATTTACATGAACAATACCAAAAAAGAAGGTGGAAATGAAAAAAACAAGTAAATATGCAATTTGGAATGACAAGATTTGGATTTTTTAAAAGGCTCTTTTATGTGTTTAGTGTTATGTTGATAAGTTACAGGAATAATTTTTGCCTTTTGAGGAGAGATAAGGAAAATAGATTGCAGTGAATTATTTATGCATGCATATTTATCATATACCCTGTACAGGCCTTTAGAAAACCTGAAAAGTAACGGAACATAGTTTATGTAAGTGTACTTACGTTTTTGAGTTCTTGTATTTTTAATTTCATATCACCCTCAGCTAGTTAAATTTATACGGCAGATATAGATATTCTCATTAAATCATCTTTTTTGATGTAAAGCAGATTATTTTACAAAAGCTAAACATGTCCCTAAACTTCCACATTGCCCTATAAAGGAGTGAGAAGCAGAAGCATGAGTCCTCCCACAGGAAAAGTGACTGGACAGTTCTCCAATGAAGATCTGCTGGTGAACTCCATTGATGTGGGAAACATTCATGTCTCCTGCGTGTTATGGGGAGAAAATCAGTTCCTGTTGTATCATTCAGATTTTCCCCAAAATGTAACTACTCACATCAACACAAAACTAGTCCACATTTAGTTTGACTAAGTATGAGATATTTAGTATTGCATTTTTACTCCACAAACTCCTTTGATAATACACTTTGAAGATACTTACCTTGATTTCCAATAGCAAGGCCTTTAGATTTCGAGGCTGTGCTTTAAAACTTTCATACTTTCTCTTTTCATTGAAGTCAACTTATCAGATATAAAGATGTGAAAACTGCCTTATGGCTGCAAATGCTTTCATTAAACACGTCTGAAAAAGTTTAAATAGCTATTCCTCTTTCTGATCGAATTAATCGTTGATTATGTTACTTTTGAAATAGAAAATGTATTGGCTCTGGCCAAATAATTGAATTTTTTAATAGGCAAGCTGTAATTACATAAGAAAAACAAGGAGGGTGTAAGTGTGGAAGGAGTTATTGTATAAGCAAATAGGAAATCTGCTCACAGTGTGAGAGAATACAAACAGGATGTATAAATTTCAAAGTCAATGCCAAAGTTTTCTGCTAGCCAAGACACATAGAAATTGAATTCTCTTTTTCACCTGGTAAGATTCCAAAAGGAAATAAATAGTGGCATTCAGAATTATGTCTTTAATAAAAGAGGCAACTAAAATTAAAGTTAAAGGTTACACAATTCTTTGCTTAACATAAACAACTGCCTTAGGATTTCTTGCACACAAATTTAGGATATTTTTATTTAAGCTCTGAGAGATGTGCCGAGAATTCCTTCAACCATCCCCTAATATAGTCATCAATTTCCCAATAACTTTTATTGAGGTGAGTGTATACTGAAAAGCAGAATAAAGAGAATATAATTGATAAAAATACTTAAACCATATTTTGTACCTGATTATTTCTTTAGCTTCTACATACTCTTCTGCATTATCAATTTCCTGGCTCTTTATATTGTCAGAATTATACATCACTTTGTAAGATTTCAATTCACTTAATTTCATACACGTCAGGGAGTAGAAATATTGTGCAATAGATTTAATATAATTTGAAGCATTTTTAAATGAAATATCTATCTGAGCACCCTGGGTTCTTTTTCCTTCATCTATAAAAGGAGGGTTGAAAGAATATAACCTAAGGTCCCTTTTAGGTGAAAAAATTCTATAATTCATACTTTTGCATGACTACCCCCAAGTTCAGAGGGAAAAAAATGGTGATAGTAACAAGTAGCTATTTTCAGAAATGACTTTGAAATAGAGCCCCCAGTAGTGGAGTGTGGACAATGACTAAACCTTAAAGTCCTCTGCCAAAGCCTGGGACTAGATGAGACCTTAAAGGAAACAATAAATTCATTTTACCAAGGAATAATAATGGCAATGCAAGAGAGCAAGTTGCTGATATTTCTTAACTGCTTCTTATGATCCAGGCACCCTATGGCACTCTGGGTCTACAAAGATGCACTGCACAGTCAGATCATAGCCCAGGAAAAGAGAGAAAGAAGTCAACTCAAATCTCAGGGTGGTTATGATAAACACTATGATAAATACTATGGCACAGATAAGCATAGAAGGCAGTGGAATCACATGGGAGGAGACTGCTGCACTCTGGGAAGCATCCACAGAATAGCACATATCCTTAGATAAGCAGCAATTTATACTAAATCTCCAAATCTATTGGAGAAAATGTTTCCTTCTCAATCTACTTCCAAATCCTTCCATATTTTATATGAATTTTAATATTGACATCACTGTCCTATGAAAACACCATCAGAATAAGGAAACTGAATTTACTTCTGTTTGTGAAAATAGTCTATTTATTTTATTCTTATTTTAGGTCCTCAAAAAATTTTAAGTTTTCCAAACAGAAGGTCTCGTATATGCTTTATAATATTAATTGCTCTTGTGAATGGAATATTTGACTACATTTGAAATGATTTGTGTATTTTAAATTATTAAGTATATGAAATATTATTTATCTTTTATATTGATATTATATCCAGGAGCTATGCAGAATTTTTTATTACATCTAATAGTTTGTCAGTAGGTTATTTTGAATTTTCTATGAAAATAATCAAATCACCTACAGATAACAATGGTTTGTTTTCATTATTTCTTTTTTAATCCTGTGAATATGTATTTGTTTTGATTTTTCTTTTACTGACTAGCTGGTACTTTTTGAAACAATGCTGACTATAAGTAGTTATGATGGGCATAATTGCCTGATTTACTTAAAAGAAATGCCACACGTTTTCCTCCATTAAGTATGACACCTTCAGTAGATATTTTTGCTACATCACAAATGCATGTCAAATTTTTATTGTACTCTTTTTCTTTATAATTGTTTTTTTGTAAAATAAACACAGCTAAAGATATACAGATGTACACAAACATATAGTTTTTAAAGGAGTACTAATAAATGCCCATGTAAATACTACCTAATTTAAATAATAGAACAAGGACATCATTTTTAAAGCCCTGAATCCTCTTCTTCAATCATATTATCTTCACTACCCAACAAAATAAGTAGTGTTATAACATTTGTGATAATCATTGACTTAATTTCTTTATGTATGTATCATAGGTATATATCCTACACAATATATTATTCAGTTCCCTTTGTTCCAAAACTTTAAGTCAATAGATACACACTAACAGTATTCTTCAGTAAAAGTATTTTCTCAGTAAAAGTAATCTTCAGTAAAAAGATTTTAAGAGTCAGGCATGTTGCTATTTAGGGCTATGATTCATTCATTCACTTTCACTTTTATGTGATATTCTATTGTGCGAATATATTATAATTCATTTATACAATGTACTCTTGATGGACATTCAAGTTACTGCCAGTTTTATTCTGTTACAGGTAATACTTTTATGCATTATGTAGTCTGGTGCACATTTGCAAGAATATGCATATATCTAGGACTGAATTGTGGGGTCGGGTATATGAATCTTCAACTTTACTAGAAAATGCTGCACTGTTTTCCAAAATGATTGTAACAGTGCACAGGTGGTAATATATGTGAATTCCCATTGAGCCACATCTCTACCAATTATTAGCCACACCACTGTTTTTAAGTGTTTCCCTGCTAGTGAGCATGTGAAGATAACACATTGTGGTTTTAATTTACCATTCCCTAAGGTTGAATAAATATATTTTCATATGTTTATTAGACAATCATGTTTTCTGTGAAATGCATGTGCAGTGGTTTGCCCACTATTCTCCTGAGGGCTGGGATTTATTTAAATATTCTAGACATTGTGTTTTGTCAGTAATACATGATGCATATATCCTATCCAAGTTTGTGGCTTGCATTTTAAGTCTCCAAATATTGTCATTGGGTGAACAGTTCTTGATCCTGGTGTCATCAAAATTATCTGTCCTTTTCTTTGGTTTATGTATTTTTTAGATTGTTTAAAATTTTTTTCTACCCCAAGGTTTTAAAGATATTCTACATATTAACAAATTTATCATTTTGTATTTACATTAAAATCTTTAATTAACCTCCATTTGATTTTTATATGTAGTATGAAGAGTCCAAATTTATTTTTCCATATAATAGCCAATTGTCCTAACTTTGTAATGAAAACTCCATTTTTTCCCCAGATATATGCAGAATCATCTGTCATGTTAAACACCTGTTTATGATTAGCCCCATTTCTGGAGATTTCTATCTACTCTGTTTCATTTGTCTATTTATCTATTTCTGTGTGAGTGATATAGTGTGTTAATTACTGTACTTTTGTAATAATTTTGTTAAATGGGAGGGCACAACCCTAACATTTTATTCTCTATCAGTTATCTAGACTCTTTTTGCCCTTTAATTTCATATAAACTTTGCATAAGCAATTATAATGATTCAAAAAAGATCAATAGAAGGAAAATATTATTGGGGTTTTAATATCCATAAAGCCAGTATGGAAAAAAGTGAGTTTTTGCAGTATAAATTCTTTCAATTTGTTAATCAAGTACAGATCTCCCTTTTTTATATTGTATTTAATGTCACTCTACATGAGTTCTTACTATAAAATTATAGAAATTAAGACAGGGTTGTATTAAAGAAAGATAGTTACAGAGATCAATAAATTTCAAAAGTAGATCCACAAAGGTAATTTCACCAAATGGACAAAAATAATTCGATAGAGAAAGAAAAGTCTTTTCCAAAAAAGACTATATATATATGTGTGTGTATATATATATATATAAAACCATACCTCACAATATACAAAAATTACCTACAAATAAATCATAGAACTTTGTCTAATTAGAACTATATAACATCTGGGGGGAAGCCTTGCTATTTGGGGCTGACAACAATTTCTTTGACAACAAAAGCATGGTCTATAAAAGAGTAACTGAATAAATTTTATGTGTTAAAAAAAAAAAAAAAAAAAAAAGAAAAAAAAAAAAGGGGAAAAAAAAAAAAAAAAAACAAAAAAAAAAAAAAAAAAAAAAATTTTTTAAAAGGGGGTGGGGGGAAAAAATAAAAAATTGGGTTGGTGTATTTAAAAAAATAATAATAATTAAAAATAAAATTTGGAGAGGAAAAAAAAAAAAAAAAGGGGGGGGGGGGGGGGGGTAAAAAAAAAAAAAAAGAAGGAGAAAAAAAAATTTTTTTTTTTTTTTTCTAAAAAAAAAAAAAAAAAAAAAAAAAAGGAAAAAGGGAAGACCAAAAAGAAAAAGAGGGGGGGGGGGGAAGAGGAATTAAAAGGGGGGGGGGGGGGGGGGGGGGGGGGGGGAAAGGGGGGGGGAAAAAAAAAAAAAAAAAAGAGAGCAGAAAAGCAAAGTCTCATACTGGGAAAAATATTTGCAAATCACATATCTGATGAAGGACTTGTTTGTATCTAGGATATACTAAAAAAAAAACCCCACAAAATTTAACAATCAATAACAAGACAAAAAGGCTACAATCAATCAGTAAAACATTTGACTAAAAAAGATATATGGATGAAAAATAAGCACATGAAAAGATTAAGGTATTTAGTCATTAGGAAAATGTAGATCAGAACTGAAATGAGATACCACTACATATCTATTTGAATGGATAAAATTTTGGTAAGTACTTACCATAGCAACTGCTGACATGGATGCAGAGCAACCGGAACTTTCATGAATTTCTGGTGGGAATGCAACATGATCCAGCCACTTTACAAAACAATTTGGCAGTTTTTTATAAAGTTAAAAATACACTTATCATGCGACACTGCAGTCCCACTCCTAGCTATTTATTCTGGTGAAATGAAACCTTCTGTTCACAGAAAAACGTACATGTGCATATTTATAATGGTTTTATTTGTAATTATACAAAGCTGGAAACTATTCAAAGGTTGAAACAGGGACTGTTTACACAAACTCTGGCACATCTATGAAATGGAATACTACCAGAATGAAAAGACATGAACAAGTCATACACAGAAGAGTGCAGATGGATCTTAAATGCTTTATGGTAACTGAAAAAAGTCAGACTTAAAGTCTACATCCTGTATTATTACATTTATATTACATTGTGGAAAATGTGAAAATATTTGGACATAGAACAAATCAATGATTTCCCCAGGCAACTGGAAAATAGTTGACTGCCAAGGTATAGTGCAGTGGCATATTTGGGAGGGGGCGGGGAGATGGAACTGTTTGCTCTGTTGATTGTGGTGGTGGTTAGAGATCTGTATGTATTTGTCAAAACCCATATATAGTGCAGTTAAAGAAAGTGAATTTTACTGTATGTGCTTTATAACTTAATAAAATAATTTTAAAAAGAACATCTGATTTTATTATAATCACATCAACTTTATTTTGTTTAGTGCTAGTAGGGCATGTCTTTTTTAACCATCTTTCTGGGACTTTGTGTGTATGTATGTATGTATTTACATTATTGAACATCATCAGTGATGGTCTTCTTTTCAAAAAACATAAGGGCATTTTATTTACTTTTTATTTTTGTATTTATTTATTTATTTTCCATCACCGGTTACCACCCCTATACCCTCCTCCACCTCTCCCCACCCGCTCCTCCCCCCGCAATCACCACACTGTTCCCCTGTGTCCATGAGTTCTTTCTCTCTCTCTCTTTTTTTTTTTTTGCTCATTCTCTCTAAGCCCCCACTCCCTAGATTCTCCCAGCTGTCAGTCTGCTCTCTACCACTCTGTCTTTATTTGCTTGTTAGTGCATTTTGTTCATTAGATTCCAAATATGAGTGAAATCATGGTACTTGGGTGACCTTGTATTTAAAAGCGCACATATTTTAAATAGGATTTTTTTCTTTTTAAGGATCTTTAATAATCTTATCATCTTTATCATTTAATTGGCCTGTTTAGCTCCTCTATAATTAATGGAATTCCTGATCTACTTTGGTTTAAATTTACCTTCTTGTTATTTGTTTTCCACTTGGCCTCTGTGTTTATTCTTTTATTTCCTCTTTCTTACATTTCTTTAGATTAATCAAGTATTTTACTTAATTTTTCCATATTTTCTATTTTTATTCCACTTCCTTCATTCTCAAGGGCACATCTCCTGCTCCTTCATGGATAATTACCCCTCCTTACATGACTGTTAGGGCCTATATGCATGTTCACTATCCCCTTGAGCCACCAAGGCTTCAGCAACTTCACAAATCTGACTTCAAATTCTTCTTAGGTTCTGGGACATGGGAATTTTGTCTTAATTTTGAAAACCCAGAAGACATTAAAAATGTCTATAGATGTATTTTATGCAACAGTTCTGTTTGTTTGCAGTAAAAAGGTCTCTTGTTAGTTTAGTTCTCCAACATGCAAAACTAAGAAGTAAAACAGTCTTACAACTTGATATGCACATTTGGGGAATTTAAAGTAACTCTGTGTCGCCAGAATGTAGAGCTAAGCTCATGGTGGAGTGAGAATGGTGGGAAATAACCAGGTGGGGAAGAATCACCATAAAGAGCGACATGCCCTGTGATCAGATTAAGAATATTCCTACAAAAGCAATGGAATATATTTTTAAAATCATTTTTAATTGTTATTCTATTACAGTTTTCCGAATTTTTTGCCCTTTGCCCTCCTCTGCTCGTCCCACCCGCCACTCCCACAGTTAATTCCCACACCGTTGCCATGTCCTTCAGTCATTCGTATGTGTACTTTGGTTAGTCCCTTCCCTTTCTTTCCATATTATCCCCCTCTCTCCTCCCCTCTGGTCACTCTGTTCCATATTTCCATGCCTGTGGTTCTATTTTGTTTAGTAGTTTATTTTGTTCATTATACTCCTTTTAATAGGTGAGATCATATGGTATTTGTCTTTCACTGACAGGCTTACTTCACTTAGCATGATATTCTCCAGGTACATTGATAATATCACAAAAGATGGGAGTTCCTTTTTCTTTCTGCTGAATAATATTCCACTGTGTAAAGTACCACAGTTTTTAGAGCCAGTCATTTACTGATGGGCATTTACACTGTTTCCAGCACTTGGATATTATAAATAGCATTGCTATGAACATTGGGGTGCATAAGTTCTTTTCCATTGGGGGTTTGGGATTCTTAGGGCATAATCCCAGCAGTGGAGTTACTGGATCAAAAGGCAGTTCCTTTTTTAAGATTTTGGGGAAATTCCTTACTGTTTTCCATAGTGGTTGCACCAGTCTGCATTCCCACCAACAGTGAACTAGGGTTTCCTTTTCTCCACATTCTCGCCAGCACCTGTTGTTTGTTGATTTATTAATGATGGTCATTCTAACAGGTGTGAGGCGATAGCTAATTGGGCTTTAATTTATATCTCTCTGATGGCTACTGATGTTGAGCATCTTTTTATATGTCTATGGGCCATCTTTATGTCCTGCTTGGAGAAGGGTCTATTCAGATGCTTTGCCCATTTTTTAATTGGATTGTTTGTCTTCCTGGTGTGGAGTCATGAGTTCTTTATATATTTTGGACCTCAAACCCTTGTCTGATGTATCATTGGCAAATGTGATTTCCCATACAGTTGGCCCCTTTTCATTTTGATGATAGTTTCTTTAGCTGTGCAGAAAGAAGCTTTTTAGTTTGATGCAAGCCCATTTGTTTATTTTTTCTTTCAATTCCCTTGGCCTAGGATATATATTGGCAAAAAACATTGCTACATGGGGCATATGAAATTTTCCTGCCTATGTTTTCCTCTAGGACTTTTTTGGTGTTGTGACTTATGTTTAAGTCTTTAACCCATTCTGAGTTTATTCTGGTGTATGGTGTGGGTCTAGTTTCTTTTCTTTCTTTCTTTCTTTCTCTTTCTTTCTTTCTTTCTTTCCTTCTTTCTTTCCTTCTTTCCTTCTCTTCCTTCTCTTCCTTCTCTTCCTTCCTTTCTTTCTTTCTTTCTTTCTTTTTCTTTCTTTCTTTCTTTCTTTCTTTCTCTTTCTTTCTTTCTTTCTTTCTTTCTTTCTTTCTTTCTTTCTTTCTTTCTTTCTTTCTTTCTTCTTTCTTTCTTTCTTCCTTTCTTTCCTTCCTTCCTTCCTTCCTTCCTTCCTTCCTTCCTTCCTTCCTTCCTTCCTTCCTTCCTTCCTTCCTTCCTTCTTTTTTGGCATGTACCAGTCCAGTTCTCCCAATACCATTTATTGAAGAGGCTATCTTTACTCCATTGTATGCTCATGACTCCTTTGTCAAATATTAATTGACCATAGAGGCTTGGGTTTATTGTGGGTTCTCTATTCTGTACCATTCATCTATGTGCCTGTTCTTGTACCAGTACCAGACAGCTTTGATTATAGTGGCCTTAGGTAGTATAGTTTTATATCAGGTATTATGATCCCTCCTACTTTGTTTTTCTTTCTTAAGATTGCTGAGGCTATTTGAGGTCTCTTGGTTCCATATAAATTTTTGAAATATTTGTTTCAGATCTGTGAAATATGCCTTTGGTATTTTAATAAGGATTGAGTTGAATTTATAGGTTGCTTTGTGCAATATGGAAATTTTAATCATGTTAATTTTTCCAGTCCATGAACACAGTATATGATTCCACTTACTTGTATCTCCCTTAATTTCTTTCTTAAGTGTTTTACAGTTTTTCAGGTACAGGTCATTTACCTCCTTGGTTAAATTTATCCCTAGGTACTTTATTTTTCTTACTGCTTTAGTAAATGGGATTTTTTTTTCTAGTTTCTCTTTCTGATATTTCATTGTTGATGTACAAAATACCATTGATTTCTAAATATTGACTTTGTATCTCACTATTTTGCCAAATTCACTTATTAGTTCAAGTAGTTCTTTGATGACAACTATAGGGTTTTCAATGTACACTATCATGTGGTCTGCAAATAATGACAGTTTTATTTCCTCTTTTCCAAATTGGATGCCTTTTATTTCTTTTTCTAGTTTGATCCTTGTGGCTAGAATTTCCAGTACTATGTTGAACAAGAGTGGTGAAAGCAGATACCCTTGTCTTGTTCCTGATCAAGGAGAAAGCTTTTAGTTTTTGCCCATTGAGTGTAATGTTGGTTGTAGGTTTCTTGTATATGACTTTTAATATGTTGAGGTATGCTCCCTCTATTCCCACTTTGCTGAGTGTTTTTAGTCATAAGTGGGTGCTGGATTTTATCAAATGCTATGCCAGCATCTATTGGTATGATCATGTGGTTTTTGTCCATCATTTTGTTTATGTGGTGTATTACATTTATTGATTTGTGAATGTTGTACCATCCTAGCATCCATGGGATGAATCCCACTTGTTCATGGTACATGCTTTTTTAAATATATTTCTGAATCCACACTGACAATATTTTATTGAGGATTTTAGCATCTGTTTATCAGAGATAATGGCCTATTGGTTTTTTTCTTTGTTGTGGCTTTACCTTGTTTTGGAATTAGGATGATACTGGCCTTGTAAAAAGAGTTTGGGAGTCTTCACTCTTGAATTTTTTTGGAATAGTTTGAGAAGTATAGGAGTTAGTTCTTCCTTAGATGTTTGATAAAATTCACCTGTGAAGCCATCCGATCCATGGCTTTGTTGTACTGAGAGTTTTTGATTACTGCTTCAATTTCACTACTTTTTATTAGTCTGTTCAGGCTTTCTGCTTCTTCTTGATTCAGTTTTGGAAGATTGTATGTTTCTAGATATTTGAACACTTTTCCCAGGTTGTCCAATTTCTTGGCATGTAGTTGCTCATGGTAATTTCTTACAATCCTTTGTAT